AATAACAGCAAAAGAAATTGAAGCAGTAATCAAAAAACTCCCATCACACAAAAGCCCTGGACCAGATGGTTTCACAGGAGAATTCTACAAAGCATTTAAGGAAGAGCTAACCCCTATTCTTCACAGACTATTTCAAAAAGTCCAGAAGGATGGAAAACTCCCAAATTCTTTTTATGAAGCCAGCATTATCCTAATTCCAAAACCAGACAGAGACAGAACAAAGAAAGAAAACTTTACGCCAATATTGCTGATGAACATAGACGCTAAAATCCTCAACAATATATATCAAAAACATCATACACCATGACCAAGTGGCATTCATCCCAGGAATGCAAGGATGGTTCAATATTCACAAATCAGTAAATGTAATACATCACATAAACAAAAGCAAACACAAAAACCACATGATCATATCAATAGACATGGGAAAAGCTTTTGATAAGGTACAATACCCATTTATGATAAAAACACTTAGTAAAGTGGATATAGAGGGAGCATTCCTCAATATAATAAAGGCCATATATGAGAGACCTACAGCCAACATTATACTCAATGGGCAAAAACTAAAATCTTTTCCACTAAGATCAGGAACAAGAGAAAGGTGTCCACTTTCACCACTCCTATTCAATGTAGTATTGGAAGTTTTAGCCACAGCGATCAGCAAAAAAAAGAAATAAAAGGCATCCAAATAGGAAAGGAGGAAACAAAATTGTCACTTTGCAGATGACATGATAGTGTACATGGAAAATCCTATAGACTCTACCCAAAAACTGCTCGAACTAATTAATGAATTTGGCAAAACAGCGGGTTACAAAGTCAATATCCAGAAATCAAAGGCATTTTTGTATACCAACAACGAATCAGCAGAAGCAGAAATCCAGGAAAAAATCCCATTTGATATAGCAAAAACAAAAATAAAATATCTGGGAATAAACCTAACCAAGGAGATAAAAGACCTGTATGCAGAAAACTACACAACACTGAAGAAAGAAATCAAGGAAGACACAAACAAATGGAAACATATACCTTGTTCATGGATAGGAAGAATTAACATCATCAAAATGTCAATACTACCCAAAGCAATTTACAGATTCAATGCAATTCCTATTAAAGTTCCAATGGCATACTTCACAGACATAGAACGAACACTTCAAAAATATATATGGAACCATAAAGGTGCCCGAATAGCAGCTGCTATTTTGAGAAAGAAGAACAAAGTAGGAGGGATCACAATACCTGATATCAAACTGTATTACAAGGCCACTGTAATCAAAACAGCCTGGTACTGGCATGAAAACAGGCACATAGACCAATGGAACAGAACAGGGAGCCCAGAAATCAACCCATCTCTCTACAGTCAATTAATATTCGACAAAGGGGGCAATAACATAAAGTGGAGTAAAAATAGCCTCTTCAACAAATGGTGTTTGGAGAACTGGACAGCTACGTGCAAAAAAATGAAACTTGAGCACCAACTTACGCCATACACCAAAATAAATTCAAGGTGGATAAAAGACTTAAATATAAGCCTTGAAACCATTAAAGTCCTAGAGGAGAAACATTGGCAGGAAAATCTCAGATACTTCACGCAGCAACATTTTTACTGATATGTCCCCTAGAGCAAGGAGTATAAAGGAAAGAATTAACAAATGGGATCTCATCAAAATTAAAAGTTTCTGCGTGGCTAAAGAAAACAGTATCAAATTAAATAGACAACCAACTGCATGGGAAAACATATTTGCCAGTGATACCTCAGAGAAAGGTTTAATCTCCAAAATATACAAAGAACTTACACGACTCCACTCTAAGAAGACAACCAACCCAATTAAAAAATGGGAAAGGACTTGAACAGACACTTCCCCAAGGAGGACATACAGAAGATCCAGAGACACATGAAGAAATGCTCAATATCGCTAGCTATCAGAGAGATGCAAATTAAAACCACAATGAGATACCACTTTACACCAGTCAGAATGGCTATCATAAACAAAGCAACCAACAACAAATATTGGAGAGGTTGTGGGGAAAAGGGGACCTTAGTTCACTGTTGGTGGGATTGCAGACTGGTACAACCACTATGGAAAACAGTATGGAATTTTCTCAGAAAAATAAAAATCGACCTGCCTTTTGATCCAGCAATTCCACTGCTAGGATTCTATCCTAAGAACCCCAAAACATCAATTTCAAAGAACCTATGCACCACAATGTTCATAGCAGCACAATTTACAATACAATAGCCAAGAGCTGAAATCAACCTAGGTGCCTGTCAGTAAATGAATGGATCAAAAATTGTGGTACATATACACAATAGAATTCTATGCAGCAGAGAGAAAGGAGCTACTACCCTTTGCAACAACATGGATGGAACTGGAAAGCATTATGCTGAGTGAAATAAGCCAGGGGTTGAAAGGCAAATACCATATGATCTCACCTTTAACAGGAAACTAAACAACAAAACAGACAAGCAAGCAAAATAAAAACAAATACACTGAAATAGAGAACAGGGGGACAGGGACCAGAGGGGAGAGGGGAGGGAATTTAAGGGGGAAAAATGGGAGGGATTTAGAGGAACAAGTATAAAGGACACAGAGACAATAACTAAGGGGGGTGGAAATGGGAGGGAGGTGGGGAGCATGGGGGAGGGGTGGGCTGGGATGGGAGAAATAAACAGAAAACTGTACTCAAAAAACAACTAAATAAAAAAATAAAGAAATATTCACAATGGTAAAATTCAGGTTCCCTGGAACAAGAGAGCGCAGGGCCATCCAAATGAACTCCATAACCTTATTAGGAAGGGATAAAAAGAAAGAAGACTTCCCAAACTAAAATTCAATTTGTCACTTCCATGAAAACTACTGTATTTGTGCCCTAAAAAGTTCTGAAAGAATGCACAGTCATTACTCAGAAACACACTTTAGTAACAAGAGGTAATGACATAATTTCTATTAGTTTTATTCTTCCTTTTTTTTTTTTTTCTGCATTAGTTCCTAAGGAAAGCCCTCCGTTCTATTACAGGACCTGAAAAGTTATTCCAGGGAAGGTACAAAAGAGAAGGAAAATAAAAAATCATACAAGTAAACTATTGTTCTTGACCTTAGGAATGATAACTACATCTGAAGTGATTTTTGCATGTAGAAAATCCGTATTTCTCTTTGAAAAGAAAAGATGATAGATCTGAAACATCTCAGACCTTCCAAAACAAGCCATACTTCCTTGGAGTCACCTTAGAAGGCTATGTGTCTGGGCCAGTGACTACAGTCCCATGCAATCTCCATGGGCAAGACTTCCTTTAGCATCAAAGGCATGAACAGAAAAAGGTAGAAATTTAGGAAGTTAACAAATAATATGGTTATGTTAATTCTGTATGATGCCCCAATTTGCTTTATGTGTGTGCTCCCATCTGATTTTTTTTTAAAGCTGAACAATAACATTTCTAACTATTGAACCAAGAACTGGAGGTAGAAGGTGGAAGAAGAAGAAAAAAATCTCTATGCCTTCATGGCCCCATGATTCCTCCAACCCCCTAAATTTACCTTCATCTCCCAGTAGCATAAACCCTGACACCTTACCTGTAAGACCCCTGAATCAGGCTACCTACAAGACAGGCTCATCAACACAGAGGTGTCTGGCCTTGCATGGATCTAAATCAATGTCTGCTTTAAACAATTCCACAGAGTTCCACATTTGGAAATCTGTTCCAAGCATAAAAATATGGCTAAAACTGTGGGACAGAAAGGAGAGTAATGTTTAATTTCTCAAGATGCCCCCTTTAACATTTGAATACCAATTTTACTGCTAGAAATTATGTTCCAGGGTATTCAATTTTAGTACCTAAATTAAGATAGGAAATTAGAAGGAAAGGTTGGAATGAATCTAACACAGACTTTGATGAATCCCTGTGGGCAGTTAGCCAGACTAAAACTGGACACCTCCAAAGAAGAGGATCTTTCTTTGCAGAGTGAGCTCATACAGTGAAGAGCATGGGTGAGAGCCAGACAGACCTCATTCCAATCTGCACTGGCTCCTTTGCTATCTAAGGAATCTTAGAAAGTTACTTAACCTGCGGAACATTGTGGGTAAGAGCAGAGGTTCCAGAGCCGGGCTACCAGCCCTGCTGGACACAGCTCTGACAGCACTGGTTGCTTACTCAGCCCCTCAGTACCTCAGTTCTCTCACTGGTAAAACAGGGATAAAAAAACAACATACCAGATAGTATTGTTTAGAGGATTAACTGAGTGCCTGTTTATAGTAACCTGTGAAAAAGTGTTGGCTTATAATCATGATGATGATGATGATGATGGTGATGATAATGATGGTGATGATGAAGAAAAAGAAAATGCTGTAATGAGGATCAAATGGATCTCCTGTAAATAGATCCTGAATATATGCCTAAAGCACAGAAGCTGATTAATGTTATAATTATACCAATTGGAAATTAATTACCTACTTTTCATATGTATTATTTCATTTAATGCTCTGTGAAACCCTGCCAGAGAGGGTAGAAAACTGGAATTTGGAGGGATGAAGTGACCTGCTCCGAATGTTGTATAGATGGGAAGGGGTAGAGCTGGGGTTAGAACCGTAAAGAGCCTGACTTCAGATGCCACGCTCATTATTACACAGTATTTTCACTTCAGTAAAACTTATTGTGTTTCCTTATATTAAGTCATGCTAACTACAGCCACCCTAACTTTTACAACTTTTGTCTCTTCCATTCTTTTCCACAGCAGCTGAGGCCACACAGTGTCTTTGGTTTGCCTCATGTACCACTCTGGGGGCTCCTGACTCAGGCCTCCCTGCTGTGCCCACTAGCTTCCAGTAGCCACACGGGCCCCTTTCTAAGTTTGGTTGATCCTCTTAGGACTCCTGCTGGCTGGGCCAGGTCCCTGCCTCTATTAAGAGGAAGATTGAACTTTCTTGGTTTAATAAGTCAAACAATGGCAGGGTCATTCTAAACATAAAAGCAAAACTAGGCTCTTAATTCCTAAACTGGCCCTCACCTTTTTTCTTCTGGGATGTTCTCCAACAACATTTGAAGGAAATCCTGGAATGAGAAAAAAGCAAACCATTAAAGATGTCCATCGATGAGTAACTGCCAGGAGTCATGCCAGAGACAGAGCATTCCCAGCTGTTGACAGCTACCTGCTGGAGAAGCTTGGCCCAAATGGAATTATTAGACTACATACCTAATTTGTTAATTTACCAAGGCTTCAATCCAATCAGTTTAAGAAATTTCTTTTGTAAAAACCAAAAACAATCTTTTTGAGGAAGTTGCAGTTGCAGCTGCAGCTCATCGCTGTTCAGCCCCCTTCTGCTCCTGGCTCACTGCTGTTCGCCTCAACCAGGAACAAGTTGGTCAGGAAGTAGTGCTGCAGCAATGGCTTTTAAAGATACCAGAAAGACACCCTATGGAACCAGAGATGGCTGTAAAGTCTTTGGAGAGGGTATGTGCTGACTTGATCAGAGGCACAAAGGAAAAGAATCTCAAAGTGAAAGGACCATTTTGGATGCCTATCAAGACTCTGAGAATCACTACAAGCAAAACTCCCTGTGGGGAGGGTTCCAAGGTTTGGGGTCAATTTCAGATGAGGATCTACAAGTGACTCATTGACTTGCACAGTCCCACTGATCTTGTTAAGCAGATTACTTCCATCAGTACTGAGCCAGGAGTTGAGGTTGAAGTCACCATTGCAGATGACTAAATCAATCTTTTTGATAAATTGACTGTCAGTTGTTAAACAAACAAACAAACAAACAAACAAACCTCAAACAAAATAAAAAATGTAATGCTTGTTATTTTAACCCAAACCAATGATTTGTTTTTGTGTTTTAACTATTTTCAAAACACAGGCTATAGGCACGCAGCACTGCCCCTCTCTACTGCACCACTTCTCTTCATGAGCTTTCCCTAGATATCCTGCTATATACTGAACAACCTCAAACTCAGAAGCTAACCACTAACTTGCAACTTTCTTGCATTGCTCAGGAAAGATAAAGACAGACATCAAGATGATTAGTATCCCAGTGCAGGAACAGAGGTGACACAATGCCAAAATTGTGCACCGTGCCTGCCTCCATCTGCAGCCTCTTGCAGTGCTATTATACAAGCCCTCCACTCTCTGACATTTAGGAGGTTTCAATGATAGATATTTTGAACCTAAAGACATGACTTACACATACCCACCGCTTCTTTTACTATGGAAAATTTCAAACAGCTTCAAACGTAGACAATAGAGTAAAATTAACCTTCATCATAGCCAATCTGCTCCATCCACTTATCTGCCTCTTGTATTATTTACAAGTGAATCCCAAATATTACATAATTTCATCAAACAATGTTTCAGTAAATGTCTCTAAAAGACAAGGACTCTTTTAAAATATAACGGCAATACCATATGGCCTTAAAAAACCTACATATGAGTATTCAAAAACCACATTTATATTGAATTTGTTCCTTGAATATTGTGACCAATCTTTTCAGTCCATCTAATTCTGGAATCTTTTTTTCTTTTTAAAGATTTTATTTATATATCTTTAGAGGGGAAGGGAAGGAGAGAGGAAGAGAAACATCAATGTATGGTTGCCTTTCATGCGTCCCCTGCTGGGAACTGGCCTGCAACCCCAGTATGTGCCCTGACTGGGAATCGAACCGCGATTCTCTGGTTCGCAGGCCCGCGCTCAATCCACTGAGCTACACCAGCCAGGGCTGGAATCTTAATTTGGTCTCAACTAGGTTTCTCAGGTAAAATGTAGGACAACCAGTTAAATGGGGGGCATACTTACCACTAAAAAAATTATTTGTTGTTTATCTGAAATTAAAATTTAACTGGGTGTTGAGCATTTTTATTTGCTAAATTAGTGTTAACCCTGTCATCTGAAGATTTGGCAAGACATATTTTCAAACAATATACAACATGAAACAAACAAGAACAACATTTAATTTTCTTGGGATCTACACTTGAAGTTTTTCTTTTAATAAATGTAAAATCTTTCAAAACAGGTTCTTTCAAGAGAGAGCAGATGACCAACTACCACACTGCCAAATGAACACACCTCCAGTGGGAAGCCCCACCCCTACCCCAGAGCCAAGCCTGGGGATCCAGGGGCTGAGTGGGGCTCTGAAGAGATTCATTTAACTCAAAGAGTGTGAAATGGAAGCAGCAGGAGGAGCTTCAGATTACAAACAGATAGAATCACAGAGGAGTGGAAATCTGCAAACAATTTGTATGACAAGTTGTTCTTTTTCTATCATTGCACTAGCATAGCCATCACTACACTGGTGAAGCCAATCATCACTTTCTACACATTTTGGGTGCTTAGGTCTATTTCTTCCAAAGGCAAAGTGTCCTTATTAAGGGCAATAATGAAAATTTTATTTCTTGCAACCTCTGTTTTCCTTATAAGACTTCACTCATTTATTGCTACTTCACCCAAAATAAATGATACTAAGAATACCAACTAATATTAAAAGCACGGATCCTGCAGTGAAAATGAGAGGGGACAACCCCAAATAGAATAATGCCTCACATCTGAAGTCCTTCCTTGCACCTGCAGTGGATACAGTATAGGGAGAAAAATAACCCAGGAAGCAAGAACAATATTTAGAATGTGAAGAATTATTTTTGCTTTCACTTCTTAAAGTCATTCTTTTTGTTTAATAATTATGTTGTAAAATTTTTGAGTTAGATATTAATTTATCACAATGGATTTATTAATAAATTATTTTGTAGGTATTTGATTGGCTGAATGGCAATATTCTGGCTTCTTAAAAAAAGTACTGTAAGTATAATTTTTTACTAATTTTACTTCATTATCTCCTTAGAGCCCATATCAACTTATCCCACTTTGTACAGTAATTTATGCTCAATTATGGTAGGGGGGAATTACACCAACTCAATGGCAAGGGGGAGACTTTAATTGCATGAGAAGCAGAGTATGCAGAGTTAACTTTAATTCTGCCCTCTTGCATTTTCCAGCTACAACTGCATCTTTCTTTATAGGACCCTACTTATCCTTTCATAGACCTAATTTTTAACCTTAAAATGCTGGTTTTCCCATGCCTTCCTTTCTTCCATCCATCCATCCTTTCTCTCTCTTTCTTTCTTTTTTTCTTGTAAATCGGCATATACCCCATGCAGTGGACTCATCACAGAAGCTTTTCCCCACTCTCCATAACAGAACATTTCAAAAAACACATTCTTTAGGAATTTTTGTTTTCATTTAGGAATCTCCTAATAATCTATATGTTAACCAGGTAAATTAAGCTTTATGATTAAAAGAAAACTATATTGATTTTGGCACATGGCTAATTAGGTCATTTTTTAGTCCTCCTGAAAGTAGTCAATGAAAAGTAGGTGCATGTAGATTCTAGTGAATAAACTGGCATTCGCTTTATAATAACACAGTGTAAGCATTTCTGACAGATATTTTTGAATAATTATCATGGCCATGGGGAGGAAGAAAAGACAGAATAAAAATAATCAAAATGTTGAAGCAAGGACAGTGTTGGCAGGGTAAGAACTGAGAAGAAAGAAGTCATGATCAAGCTTAAGAAAGCAGTTTTAATTAAGGCTGAAAAGATGATGATACTAAAATCCTGTACAGGTAGAGTGTTAGGAAGGGAAAAATTAAGAAGTAAATTTTATTTTATTTTTTAAATATATTTTATTGATTATGCTATTACAATTATCCCATTCCCCCCCTACACTCCCCTTCGACCTGTATACCCTCTCCCATCCACATTCCCCTGCTTTAGTTCATGTTCATGGGTCGTATATATAAGTTCTTTGGCTTCTATATTTCCTATACTATTCTTACCCTCCTCCTGTATATTTTCTACCTATCATTTATGGTATTTATTCTCTGTACCTTTTCCCCCTCTCTCCCTCTCCCATTCCTCTGTTGATGATCCTCCATGTGATCTCCATTTCTGTGGTTCTGTTCCTGTTCTAGTAGTTTGCTTTTGTTTTTGTTTTAGGTGTGGTTGTTAATAATTGCTGTCACTTTACTATTCATATTTTTATCTTCTTTTTCTTAGATAAGTCCCTTTAACATCTCATATAATAAAGGATTGGTGATGATGAACTTCTTGAACTTGACCTTATCTGAGAAGCACTTGATCTGCCCTTCCATTCTAAATGAAAGCTTTGCTGGATAGAGCAATCTTGGATGTAGGCCCTTGACTTTCATGACTTCAAATAGTTCTTTCCAGCCCCTTCTTGCCTACAAGGTCTCTTTTAAGAAATCAGCTGACAGTCTGATGGGAACTCCTTTGTAGGTAACTGTCTCCTTTTCTCTTGCTGATTCTAGGATTCTCTCCTTCATTTTAATCTTGGGTAATGCAATTAGGATGTGCCTTGGTGTGTTCTTCCTTGGTACAACTTCTTTGGGACTCTCTGAGTTTCCTGGACTTCCTGAAAGTCTATTTCCTTTGCCAGATTGGGGAAGTTCTCCTTCATTATTCCTTCAAATAAGTTTTCCACTTGTTGCTCTTCCTCTTCTCCTTCTGGTACCCCTATGATTCAGCTGTCGGAATTTATAAAGATGTCCTAGAGGCTGCTAAGCCTCTCCACATTTTTTAAAATTCTTGTTTCTTCATTCTGTTCTGGTTGAATGTTTCTTTCTTCTTTCTGGTCCACACCATTGATTTGAGTCCCAGTTTCCTTCCCATCATTTCTGTGAGCATCCTAATTACCATTGTTTTGAATTGTACATGTGAAAAGTTGGCTATCTCTTTGTCGCTTAGTTGTATTTTTTTCTGGAGCTTGGATCTGTTCTTTCATTTGGACCACTTTTTTGTCTTGACATGCCTGTCATGTAGTGAGGGGTGGAGCCTTAGGAGTTCACCAGGGAGGGGGTAACCCATGTCACTGTTGTTACTGAGTTGTGACACTGTATATGGGGAAGGGGTCCAAGAGGGAACAATAAAACTTGCTCCGCTCTCTGCCAGATTTCAGTCACTTCCTCCACTTCCTACAAGCAAGATGGGCCCTTCTGGTGCTGATTCACATGTGGGTGGGCTTGTATACATTCTAGGACCCTGTG